AGTTGGGGTGTTCAGCCTGGAGAAGAGAAGGCTCCAGGGAGACCTTAGAGCACCTTCCAGTGCCTGAAGGGGCACCAGGAAAGCTGGGGAGGGGCTTTTAATAAGAGCAGGGAGGGAGAGGACAAGGGAAAATGGATTAAAACTGGAAGAGGGGAGATTTAGGTGAGACATTAGGAAGAAGTTCTTTAGTGTGAGGGTGGCAAGAACCTGGCCCAGAGAAGCTGTGGCTGCCCCATCCCTGGAAGTGTTCAAGGCCAGGTTAGATGGGGCTTGGAGCAACCTGGGCTGGTGGGAGGTGTCAAAACTGCAGTGACCTGGTGACAGGCCAGGTGACAAAGGGGCTGCCCAAAGGAAAAGTCTGGTCTTTTACCAAGACTGAGTTCAGAAGAGCACACAGGGAGCACAGCCCAGCTGTTGGTGCTGCTGGAAAAGTGTTACAGGACTTCCACTGTGGTGGGGTTGGGTTTTCTAACCAAAGGTTCCTATAACCTGTCCAATGTGAAAGGTCTCTGTTCCAGCCCTTGCAGAAAGTGCTCCTGATGTCTGGTTGGGGTTTTACTCTTCAGAGTGTCTGTCAGGTTCATGAACACCAAACCCTCAGGGTGCAGGAGGATGACCTTCTAGGTTGACTGTTTTGCTCTTCAATCAATACTGGAACTGACTCTTCCTACTCATGAGACACACACAGGTCTTGGGAAGAGCAGCTGTGTGACTGCTGTGCTATGAACTGCAGTTTGGAAATTCCTCTCTGTGCAAATTTGCAGCTGACATCTTTGCTGCCTTGACAGTGGGAGGTAAACGATCATTCCTAAATGCTCCACCAAGAGAAAACAATCTGGAAGCCTGACTCAGACAGAGATCACTGGTAATGAAGCTTGGAAATAGAACATTTCACAGACAACCTTTTTTTTTTTTTTAGAATACATGCACACCTGTGAGTTAGTGAAACTTCTGAATTAGTATTTTGTGAGTCTCCCTGCTTCACTTGTGGGAAGCAAACATCAGGAAAGGTTCCTCAAGTCTAGGCACCAACAGAGCAGCTGAGCCACTAAAGAAATCAGAAAATCCTATCAGAAAAATCTGTTTTAAAATTAACATTTTGCCCAAACCTCTTAGAAAATCCTGTCACTTCTATTGTTCAAGATACATGAGAATCAAAGCAGTAAAAAGGTTTCAAAATATGCCTGACACAAAGCAAGGTGACTGACTTCATTCTCCTAAGGCTCCTGCTCAGGCAGCCCTAGTGCTCTGGTTTCATCCTGAGTCAGCAGGTGCACTCAGAGCTGAACATGAACTGGTGAGTTCCTTTTGGCTCTTCTGCTCATTTAGAATCACAGAACACTAGAGGTTGGAAGGGACCTCTGAAGATCATCGAGTCCCACCTCCCTGCCAGAGCAGGACCAAAAAACCACACACAACTAGGGCAGATCACTCAGAAAGGCATCCAGACAGGTCTTGGAAGTCTCCAGAGAAGACTATTCAAAAAGAAGGCTGTTCTCCAGAGAAGGAGTCTATTCAAAACAACAACAAACCCAAGCCATGAACTGGGACTATTATTTCTCTGACAGTGTATTTAGCTGCTTATTTTTTTTAAAACATCCAGAAATTTTCTAAACATTTAAGAAACTGTATATGCACTGCCAGCACATGTTTATAGCTGTATATACACTGTCATGTGTGTGGATCACCAGCTTCTTCTTTCCAGAGGCAAAGCTGGTGCCAGTTTCTCCTGTAACTCACACCTTGTGAGTTAGTCTGTAATAAAGGGCATCACATTTTATTGCAGGAAAGTCCTATCCCCATCCCCAGAGCAAGACTAGTTCCTCAGTCTTATTTCATCACAGACTTAGCAGCCACCCACACAAAGGCTTGTTCCACTGAATACCCGGTGTCAGCTCAGAGTGTGAATTTCAGGTTACAGTAAAAACAGTATCTTGAAACTTGCCTCAAAAATCAGCAGGATCCTGGTGTCTCTGAGGTAGCGTTCATAGGGATAATCCTTCATGTAGCCAAGGCCCCCCAGGATCTGCAGGGCTTCACTCACACAGGCCCAGGCACCTTCAGAGCTGAACACCTGCCATTGGAAAGAACATTAATGACCAGAGTGCCCAGAAAGCACAGACATGTTGCCCTGTTGCTGCAGCTGCAGGAACTGCTGGAGCACCCTGTGCTGCTGCTGCACCCTTTGTGTTCAAAGCTTGTCTGGAATAGAATCCTTAGGGCTCAGGGTGGATCCTCTGCTCCAACTGCAGTCATTTCTTTGCAATCCAAATGAACATCTCTGTGATGAGATGTTCCTGGAGAGCACAGCCAGGAACCCAAGAGCAGCTGCCACTGGCTGGAGCCCTCCAGGCCTGGGTGGACTCAGGGAACAGGTCTGTCCAACTGCCCACATCCCAAGGGACTGTGGTGGGGGCTGCAGCCCCTGCGTGCTCCTCGAGGGCTCCAGCAGCACCTGTCCCTGTGACACCCCAGCAGAGGGGGCCAGGCTCCCTCTTTGGGTGTGTCCTGTCACTAACCCCCAGCCCAAGCCAGGACAGAGGTGCCTTTGCCAGGCCTGCAGCTGGGGCTGTGACTGTCCTTTTACTGTTGGCACCACGTAAGGCTGCAGAAAACTAGAACTCTAGAGGCCCATCATATTCCAAACTGCTGTATGTAGTATTTATTTGTGTGGTGACAAAGCCTGACTCTGAGATAATCAAGAGCATGTGCCAAACAAGAGAAAACAGCAGTGTCTGTTTTTAATCTACCTGAGGGTTTTGTATCACTTGTACCTGTAACACCAGAGCACCTTGGTGATCTGGATGTGGAGTGAAAAATCAGGAGATTGTGAATCTGGATTAGGTTAAAGCCACAGAAAAATCTCTCAGTAAAATTAATTACCTTGACCATGGCAGCCTCCACGGAGCAGTCAGGAAACCCTGGCCTGTCCATCATTCCTGCAGTCAGGTAAGCCATGCTCTCCATGACATAGGCTTTCACTGCCATCATACAGAACTTCTCCTGCCAAACAGTAATGCCAGGAATCACAGTCACTCAGATGCAAAGTCAAGCCTGAAACTTAAGAGCACAACTGCAGTTCTCATATGTTTAACATATCAAATTCTAATTGATAAAATGTACTGCAAAACAATAATGAAAAATCTAAAAAAAAAAAAAAAAAGGGAAATAACTTTCTTCATTGGTAATGATTCTGGACATTTAAAAGATCAGTGTACAGAAGTCTGCTCTAAGTTTACAGAACTTTAATACCTCTAGTAATTTCTTATGCCAGTACAGCCAAAAGAACCCCAGCATAATCTATGTACTTGCACTTAGCCAACATAAAGCCCAAAGATTTAGGTTTTTAATTTACCTGAATTAATCCAAATTCGCTCAGTCTCTTATTGAACTGCTTCCTGGTACAAGCATACTCTGCTGACATTGCTGCAAAACATAAGAAAGCAAACAGAAAGTCCATCTCAGCCAGCAGCAGGTGACAACACCTGCAGCATGATCCTGTGCATCACTGGAGCAGTGCCTGGGGCCTCCAAACAAGGATCTGAGGGGTGAGCTGTGTGCTTAGAAAGGGCAGGTTTCAGTGCTAACTCGTTATTCTAGAGTGATTTCTGTTACTATTTTGGGTAACTGCTGTAGAAACCAATTTTATTACCCATTACTGTGTATGAGCTTTGAGCTAGTTGCTCAAGTGGGAGGTTTTACAGGAGGTTATACCTTCAAAAACTATGATATGTAGGCTATTCACTTAGTAGGAATATTTCACCTCAGAAAAATTCAACAGGGGCAATAACTTCCCACTGTATGAACTGAAAAAAACTACAGTGTTAAAACACTGTAAACAGTCATTTTAAACTAAAAATATTTCAGTGTTTTAAAGAAGTCAAAGCAGGTTTTGGCTGACAATACAGCCATGGTCAAGCTTCCTCTGCTGCTGAATTAACTGCATTTTCTACCTTCTGCAGGCCAGGGTTTTTGCATGGCACCCAGCAATCCAGAACACCTCATGCACCCACCTATCAGTTTCTTAATCATCCCAGCAGCTGCACTGCCCATGCTAAACCTTCCACTGTTCAGGATATTCATGGCAACCTGTGAAGGAAATGAATGGGGTTTAGGACGAGTGGTGTTACCACAAGACTCCTCCTCAGGCCATGATGGGCACTGTGATGTTTTAGTGCTTTCCTAGAACACAGCTCCTAACACCTCCTGTCCTGGGACACCTCAGGCTGCTCAGCACAGAACTCAGCAACCCAGCAAGAATGCTTCAAAACTAGGCAGTTTTTTTTACTGAATCCAATTTCATATTTGATACAGTTCTCAGATACTGATGATCCAGTGATCAGGATGCAATCCTCTATTCAAACTACACTAAGGTAAAATGCATATAAAAATGTATTTATCTGCAACTGGACAAACAACACTGGAGCTACAGCACTGATGAAGGTGATCAGACAACAACACCAGAAAATTGCTTAATGTGTGAACAACAGCCAAATATAAACATCTCTGCAGCTGCCCACTGCTGGAAGCTTTCCTGCTTCTGAGATCTTTCAGCAACATACAAGAAAAGGAAGCAAGAATGAAAGGTGCAGAAAATAAAATACAGACCCATAATGTACAAAAACAGATTCTGAAATCTGGTATTACTGTTCCTTAACAAGAAAAACATGGGTACTCAGTTCAAAGACTGTTAGGAAATTCAGGGAGAAGTCATTGTTCCTATATTTTAATTTGTGAGAATGATCTGAAGAAGAAACCGTAACAATCCCTGCTAATGTTTGCTGCATTAAAGAAAATGGTTTAATTTAGCATTTAGGTCTGGATTTGCCTGCTCTAGAGGAACTAGGAAAATGGAGAAGGACCATGAAGAACAGTTTTGCAAACACACACGTCAGGCTCCTGGGGAAAGGTGACAACAGCCAAGTGACCAGTGTGGTCTGGCTGGTGCCACACTCCTCTGGAGCAAGACAGAAAACCCAGTGCCAGAGGATGCCTCCAGGGTACCCCTGTGCAATGATCTAACCCAGGAAAGTCACTGCACAACCCTGGGACCCTGGAGAGGCTGGACTTCCTTCAAACCAGCTCCTTTTACACTCATTTCTTTCCGTTGCTGGACAGTCCACCCCTCTGGCTGCAGGAAACAGCAGCAGCCACTTCCCTGCTTCACTTCAGGAGTTCTGCTGAAAAAGTTGCTCCTTTTTCTGAAGAGAAGAGTGTACCATGGAAAATGTTAAGAAGCCAAACAAATATTGCAGCTAGCTCTGGCACTGGGCCAGTGAAACCAATCAATACAGAGTGGATCAGGTCAGTGGACAAGTCTGTCCCCCTGGATTCTCCAGTCTAGCAATGCTCAAAATACCAGTACAGAAACCTCAGCACAGTGGGGAAAAAAAAAATAAAAAAATTCCCCTTCAGGCGTTTAACAATCATCAGTAGTTATTCTTGACTGCTTACCTTAAAGCCCCCTCCTACTTCTCCAATTACGTTCTCTACAGGCACTTTTGTGTTTTCAAAATGTACTTCACAGGCTGAAACACAGAGTTAATAGCTGTTGAATTATTATGTAGATATATTTAAGACATTCAGGATCATAACAGGCTCTTTTTGAACAAGAATTGGGGTTTTCCTAATTACTATGACAGAATTGCACAGGCTTGACCAAAGAAGATAGAATTTGGGAAAAGACTGTAAGTGACATCAATTACTGATGTAAAATATCCACAACATCATTAAGGTACATTGTGTAAACAGAGAACTACAGTGTTGCCTCTATTTTAAGGAACTGATACAGCAGTCAAGGCCAAATGATGGATGCTGTAAAACTGTACTAATCAGTAAGCTTAAGAAGAGCCCATGAAAACTTCCTTCTAGATTAAATCTACTTGGTTACTGCGTCTCCTGAGCAATTTCTGTCACTGCATGGTTCATTAGAAGATTCAGGTGTGCAGAAAAGAATTACACAACATGGGTTTCTTATTTCAGACACTGCATTAGGAAGGACTCATAGGAAAAGCCAGGTAAGAAAACATGAAATTTATCCTGTTACATGGAACATAACCATTTGCCTCTGAATTCAGATGATCTAAACAAATTAACACATTAAAATATTAAAACAATTCCTGTTCACAGTCTTAAGTGATTCTTACTATTGGATCCTCGAATGCCTAGTTTATCCTCAGGTTTCCCATGGGTGACTCCACCAAAATCCCGCTCTACGATGAAAGCAGTGATCTTGTCTTTCACTTGTCCATCTTTATCAACAACCTCTGTCCTAGCAAACACTGTGAAGATGTTGGCAAGGCCCCCGTTTGATATCCACACCTGTTTAGACAGAGGAAAGACGTGTAAGAAAGATCCGTGTTCTGATCTCGTGAGCGCTGTTCTTCAGTGTTTTGTAACAGACCAGCACAGAAGAGAGTGGTGAAAAACTGCTGCTCCTTCCCATAAAATTCTAATGAGTGTTCTGCTGCTGGTAAACACATTTCCAAGGAAAGCTGAGCACAGAACATTAAGTTTAGAGCAACTATAAAATAGGTTGTAACACAGACTGGAATTAAAATTAAAATCCATGGTGCTTTTTCACAAAAGCTCATATATCCTGCTACTTCTGGCTCATAAGGGATACAAGGGTAGAACAGGTTGAAGACCTGGTTTACCCCAAATAATTAAAACTGATGAGAAATTCTCTGAATGAGGCCACATCTGTCTGGCCTCTCCCACAGCTGGGTCTCTTCACAGGACAGACAAATGCACCACAGCTCAAGTCTCAATGCAGGAACTATGACTGAGTTCAGTCCAGTCCATTCCTGCCTTTCCTCTAGCCTGCATTCTGCTGTTGGTTCTGCCAGCAGAAATGCTCCAAGCAGCCCTATTTCCAACTCACTGTTAAGTTTTATTTCAAAAACATCTACAAGGTCTGGCATGAAGAATGAAAAGAGGGAGGAAAATGGTTTCAGGTTTCTTTTTGCCCGTGCTGTTACAATGGGGACTAACTAACTAACCAACCCTCCTGAAGCTGAGCATCATGAGCTGGCTGCACAGAGAAGGAACTTCCTTTTTTGGCCTTTCCTATCCTTCTTGCCAAGAGTTCAGTGAAGGTCATTCCCTGCACACTGTGCTCTTTTGTTCTCTGTGGCCCTAAAGCAACATGGGCTTTTTTTGCGATGGTCATTCTTGGAAACCTCAAGCTGGTGCAGCTGCCAGGCTAGCCCCTTCCTTAGCAAAGCAGACTGATTTCAATGCTGAAAAGACAAACATGTTTTCTCTAAACCTGTAAACAAAACCTCTCATATTCCCAGCCTGTGGGTGGATACCTTGGAGCCATTTAATAAGAAGTACTTCCCATCGTCACTGAGGGTTGCTCTTGTCTTGATGGACGCAGCATCACTTCCACTAAAAGCCAAACAAGTTATTAATGTTTAAAGAAATAAACATGCTTTTAAAAAATCCCTACATATTTTCCCCTCTACCCACAGTTTTAAAAAGAATGCTGATAGTTGTATTAAATAGCAGTATATAAACAGCTCTGAAAAAATGTACTTCTACGTCAGACACCCGAGGGGACACCCTGCTGATGAACACGTCATCCATCTTATGACCTGACCAGAATGTTCACAATTTCTTGAGCTACACACTGAGCTGTGTGAATGTACAATGAAACTGTCATTCTAAAACACAAATCAAGTTTAAAAGGTCTAAGTTGTTCCTCAAAAATTCATACCTTGGTTTTATATCCTAAGTGAAAAAAGGCTCAACAGAAATGAAAAAGTGACAGTCTCTATAGTCTCCATCAATGAGCACTTGGGCACATCAAATACAGGAGCAAAATCAGGAATAAAAAATGTGTGTTGTGTGATTAGAAGTTCAGACCATCTCTCTAATCACCAGCTTATGACATAGTTGAACAAGCAGCACATACTCTCCCACCAGTTAGACCTGCAGCTGAAGCCACCTGCTAAGGTGCTGGGACAGCCAGACCTCAGCTGTTTCAACCGGGTTACATTTCTAACATTCAGCTCTAACAACAAGGGTTCCCTGCACCAGAACTAGGGTCCCTGAGAGACCAAAGTGAAAAGTTCCAAAGATTAGCCATATTTTTAAACATTACTGGGCTAAATAAAGATGTTAGAAGAATTTCAGAACTCAGTCCTTGCTTTCCTCCCTGTGTCACTTCAAGTCCCTTCATCGGTCACTTTGTTGTTAAAATAGTTTGAATTTGACCTGCAAGTGAGATCGTTTAAGAGGGTCAAAACCCATCTGAGAAGTCTTGAATAAAAACCACCATTGATGTCTACATCACAGCAACATGAAGATCAGCAAGTGAACCAAATGCTCCTGGCAAGTCATTCTAGCAGACAAGAATTCAGAAAAGACAGTTCCAAACTATAGTTCTGCCTGAGCAAAGATTCAGCTGCTCTCAGTCCTTCCCAATCCTCTTCCCTTCACATGGAAAACCCTCAGCCTGGATGTTTTCAAGAAAACTGTTCTACTGCATTAACAGAATTTGCAACATTGCCAACAGTCAAAGAAGAAACACAAGAAATAAAACTTGATCTTTGAAATGAAATTGCTGCTACAGAGATGCCTTTGCTAAACTCTAAGAAAAGACAAATATTCCTTCCTATTGTTGTTGGTAGCTCCTTCAACACAGGACTTTATCATTTTGCAAAGGAACTGAAAGCATCCTCAGACAGTCCAGCACTTTATTTCTAACATAGCACAGAACATCCTTTCAATTCAGACTCAGTAATGCCAGATATTCAGTGGATGCATTCCTGGGATGGGAAAAAACATCACTATCCACCATGAGGTGGATAGTGACACCATGGGAACTGCCCTAAGCAGCACACTGGGGAGAGAGGAAGTACATGACTTGAAGGGAACCTTTCAGAAAAAAATGGACTTATATACTGAAGCCGTAGGCACCAACTAGTGAAGATGTAATAGACTAACCAAACCACCACTGGAATGAAGATGAAAATAATTTTAAAAACCCCAACCCTAAAACATTTTCTGTTTTGATGTTTTCTGAAGCTTTTATGATTAGAAAATCAGTACCTTCCAGGCTCAGTGAGACAAAAAGCTGCAATGTGCTCCCCAGATGCCAGTCGAGGCAGGTACTTTGCCTTCTGCTCATCAGTGCCAGCAATGAGGATTCCCTAAAGAAAGGATTAACAGAAAACTCCTCAGCATCAACCTGTGTGAAAAAAATGAAGCTTTGCCAAGTTCTGAAAGCCTAATCTGCAAATTTAATGGCATAACAAGAGACAGTTTAACAAACAATGGGTATTATCGTTCACCAGATGTTAAAGTATGTCAAAGTTACTGTCAGACAATTGTTCAAATGCCCAAGGAAATGGCTTCTTGTTAAGCCTGCCTTCTAGGGTAGGTGTCACTGCATTTATGCTGTAAGGAAGGGATTAACTATTGCTCTGAAAGGCTCTGAGATAGGCCTTTCTTCATCATTTGCCACACCTTCCCATCACTGTAATTTTATTTTGATACCCCAAAAAGTAGCAATTTTCAAAGCTCCTAATCACAGAACAGAACACGTGATTTACTTCAACTCCAAATTATTTAATTATGTAGAAATGTGACAACAACTTTTTGTGAGAGTGCACTTATTTTAATTAACTCTGTTGCATTTGCTTTTAATACAGCAGGTTTCTTATGAAGGACAAAAAAAACCAACAAAAACATGGTAAAGCTAAATCATCAATGGCTAAACTGCTAAGATACAGTTGCTCAATAAAATTCTGATTAACCCCAACTGGCCACAGCAGGAGAGTGAGAGAGAGTTATGTCTCACACTACAGGTCTCATCAGCTTGGCTGCACTAGCCCTGTTTCACAGATGGTGACATTTTAAGTACACTGAGGAATAAACACATATTTTAATTAACACTGTCTGCTCAATTCCACAAATAATTTTTTCCTTGTTATAATGAGTTTAGTGCTATTTCAAGCTTCTGAGTGCCACCATCCACCCACCATAAAAAGCACTAAAAGGTGGATATGTGTGGCTCTATTATACATGATATAAATAATATATAATTTATAACAAAATTAGTTTAAAATTCCCATGCTTGCCATAGCACATTGGTCTTGGATAGGTTTTCTTGTCTAAGTCCCCCCATATCCAGCTTCATTCAGCTAGAAAAAGTTGCACCTTTCTGAAATCTCTGCATGGCTGTCCTACCTCCCCATAATTTTAGCCACCCTGATATTTTATTTATTTCAATATTTATTTTAGCTACTTTTATCAGATTGGCTCAATTTTTAAAACTTGGGATAATTTAAGGTATTTTTTCTAAGAATTATCATCTCAGTGTTTCCTGGACTAATAATTTTCTTGTGTACATCACATTCAGTCTTTATGCTGCATGAAAGTCTTACTCTGAGCCACTGACAGAGGGTGCTGGGAACATGAGCAACCAAAGTCAGAATGTTCCACCTGATTTATGCTCCACAGGCAATTCCTGATTGTGACACTCACACTCCCTGTGGAAAACTTCTTTTTCTTCCTCACACTCCCTATTCAAATAAACTTCATCTTGCCTTTTCTACACCAGTTGCAGGGACCTGCTTGACATGAGAGCAGAGGATTCTTTACCTTCAGCCCAATGGCTTGGTGAGCTGCCAGAGTAACAGCAATAGATCCATCCAGAGAAGTGATTTCTCCCAAACGTGCATACATGGTATTGGACAGACCAAGACCACCTGGAACAAACACTAAGCTGTATTCCAAGTAGATATCTTACCATTCCACTTGTCCCTTCCCCCCACCAAGTCCTTCTCAAGTACAGAAACATCAAGAATATAACACTGTTAACTGGGGAGCATCTTAGTAGAGGTACTACTCTACTAGTAGAGCAGCACCCAGCTGCAGCAGTGCCAGAAGCATCATGAAAACAGTGACTTCTTAAAAAGCATGAGCTGTGCTGCATTTAGCTCCACCCAGACTGCACATGTGTTTGTGTTCATGCACACGTGCACACACAGCACAATCCAGCAAATGGCAGAGAACAAGCTTGTTTGAAGCACCCTGCCATGACAATGGTGAAAGATCCAGTACAGAAATTGCTCTAGTCTGAATCTCTGGGCTTACAGGATAACATGAACTTTATGGTGACACTTCCATGCTAGGTTACAAAGCCAGACAAATAATGCTTCCCACAAATCTCTTAAAAAATGAGGTACCTTCCCCACCAAAACTTCTGCAAATGGTTAAACACGGTTTTGTCTTCCTCAGAGTCACTCTCTTTAAAGTCATCATCTTTTATAATAGACAATAGATGACAGAAGGGCCTAATTTCTTTATAAAGTTCATGTAAAATAGTAGTTTAAATCCCAATTTTTATTTCATGCATAAGATTAAGATTACAATTTTATTGAAAATTCCTTTGCAAGCTTAAGGATTAATCCACTGAGGAACTACTGTCTCCGATTTCAATTAGTACGATAATGTCATTTGTATGACACAAACTTATTGTCCAGTATTGACCAGGAAAGGTTTTACACAAAAGTGACACATTTAATGAGTAGACATTACACTTCCACACTATCAGCCAAGGAGAGGTGACAGCTCTGACAGATCAGTTCCCTGAGACACTCTGGTTTGGCCCCAGTATCATTTCAGGAACCATCCACACAGGCTGCAAGTCCTGCAGAATGTCCAGCTACTCCCCTGCATCCAAAGAAAGAGCCAAAAATCCTATCCACGAGGAATTTACACACCTAAAGTGAGTGACCTGAGTGAGCCCAAGGCAGGAGTGTGCAGAGCTCCCTACATCTAAAATGAGTGACCTAAGTGAGGTGCCCAAGGCAGGAGTGTGCAGAGCTCCCTACACACCAACAGGCATCCTCAGTGCCCTGCAGCTCCTCACCAGCCAGGGGGCAGGAAGGCTCAGCTCCCAGCCTGGGCAAGGAGTGCAGGGAATAGTGCAGACACACTCAAGACCTAGACACACACTAATGAACACAGACCACTGGGTTATTCATTTCTCATCATTTACTCACCATATTCCTCTGGAATCTGCATGCCAAAGAGACCTAGGTCCCTCAGTCCTTTTAGGGTTTCAGGAGGGATTTTTGCATCTTGATCAATCTTCTTAGAGTCCACTAGAAATAGAGAAGGTTTTATCATTTAGAACTTTGTAAAGTCACGACATGTACAGAAAAAGGACCTGGAAGTGGGGAAAATCTGTTTTTAATTTCATTTTCTCCAACATTTATATGTGCACAAATTGTGCTTCTTCCACTCAGTAGGCATGATTTACAAGCATTTCCAGGATTTTCTACCTGAACTATGCCTAGGTCATGATTAAAAAGAACATAAATGAGTTAATTATAAAAACCTTGTTCTTATGAGTTATTAAAATTCCTGGGGATTACCAGAGCTGTTCTTGCGACAGTGCAAATAAACAAGATTTGTACTAAGCAGCTCAGGAAGGCTGTGTGCTGCAGCAAAAGGATCCTTCCAAAAAGTATGCAAAAGAATTAACTCTGCAAAAGCACCAGTGCCTTCCTACAGACACTGAGATGACACTGCAAGTGCTGTATGAGATACAACAGGGGGAGGCAGCTGCACATCCAGATACCCTTCTAGGAGAAGTTACTCAGAAAAAAACCTCATTTTTAAAAAGACTTTTCATTCCTCACCCTAATTTTTTAGCTATACAGTGTGAGATCTGTAGCTGTGGTTTGTCATCAGCTGTTCTGGGGAGAAAAAGGTGGTTTTTACCTCTTCCTCCATGACACCCACAGGGACCTACTTGTGGTGTCTGGACTTTGTGAGGTTTCATCATGACTCTGCTGAGACGATTTTCCTCACCCCCTGCCAATCGTATCAAGTTTCTAACTGTTTAAGGCTCCTCTCCTAACCTATTTTTACCACACCTCTAAGCTACCCTTGATAACTAAACAGAAATAGTTGTGAACTGAAACAAATTTCCACCTTCAGTTCTGTGTTGATATAATATGACATTTCTATTCCTCCCCTAAATATCAGCTTTTTTACTCAAAAAATGATGTCCCCCAACAGAGCAAAGAATGAAAAAAAGGTAATCTGCATAAATTCTTAATTTACTGCTAGTGCCCACCATTACAATTCTACAGTCAAAATTACCTGGATCTCATAAACTGTGATCTGTGACAAGCACAGGCTTCTTCCAGCTCCTGCTGTCTTTGGCAACCTCAGCCCTACATCTTTAACAGGAACCTGAGAGGATGCAGCTCAGCTGCCTCAGGAATTGTTGCCTGTAAACATCAATTTTCTACAACTGTTCTAGAATGGGCTTCCCTGCTGCACCAGAGGAAACACCCTGCAACCCTAACAGGAAGGCACACCCCAGTGCAACTTTTCCCAGCATCTCTGCTGAATTTTGTGAACACCCACTTTAGCACAGTAGGGCAGGTTAAAAGCTTCAGAAAAAAATAAAAATATATAAAGTAGCAAACAGCATTATTAGATAGAGCCAAGATCAATTCAATATCCCACCTCTATCCCAGAATTCTTTTACCTCTTTTTCTGTTTTGAAGGTTTATTTCTTGCCATCAGCATGCAAATAATCCATATATAAGAAGCATAACCACACATGCCTGTAGAGTCACTAGCACTGTGTGACTGGCAATAAATGCACAGGATAACCTGAAGTATAATAATCTTATTCAACTGCTGTAGTTACATCACTAAATCACTTGCATGAATACAAAACCAAAAACTGTACCTTCTTCATTGAAGAACTTTTCTACAGGTCCTACAAACTGGTTGATCTCCTGTAGTTCTTCATTGCTAATTTCTGGGTAAGGGAAAACTTCTTCCTAAAATAAGAGGGAAATTTTTATTAAAAAAAAAAACCAAACACCCCAACACGTTGATCATGCAACTGAAGTAAAAATTCAAGAGGCTCAGCCCATAAATGCAGTCCTGGGAAACTCTCAGTACATGGCAAAGGTGAGCTCCATATTGCTCCTTATAACCACCCTGATATTTTGGTCAAAACCCGATGGGCTTGAAAAAATTAAAAAAAAATAAATCCAAGCAACTAACAAAATAAGTAAAAAACTATGTGAAAAACATGCATTTGTTTTTTATTATCTTTCCCCTTTTCCATGGAGGAGCCTGTCTCTGCCCAAACACAGCTGCTCACAACACCCTGAGGAATCCTGTCAAGCACAACAAGTCGGGATGTGACAAGTGCTTTGTTTTTTCTTTGTTGTGCTGAAATCTGAGAGGGGAGGGAGGAAGAAAAGGCAGGTGCCATTAGGGGCTCGTTGTGAAGGAGCGTGAGAGCTGAGGTCTGTTTTGGGAGCCTTGGCTGCTCAGCTCCCTCCAGGGGGTTTCAGTCATCCTGGAGTCAGGGAGTTGTTCCTTCTTTCAAGCGATGCAGCCCCCTCATCTCTGGCCACGCACACTTGGAACCTTAAGTTAATGAGCGCTGTGTTTGTCACAGCTCGGATCTGTGGCTCCTGTGTGCAGCTGCTCAGCTCCCTCCAGGGGGTTTCAGTCATCCTGGAGTCAGGGAGTTGTTCCTTCTTTCAAGCGATGCAGCCCCCTCATCTCTGGCCACGCACACTTGGAACCTTAAGTTAATGAGCGCTGTGTTTGTCACAGCTCGGATCTGTGGCTCCTGTGTGCGGTGCCAACAGCTCCAGCCTCACAGAAACGCGCCAGAA